AAGCTCGGGTATTGCACACGTAGTGCCAGTTCATGATTGAATCTCGCAAGCGCGTAAGCTAAGGAATGAGGTAGTGGTGTTAGATCAGCTCTTACATTCGTGTAAGCTCGTAGATAATCTCGGCCCGTCATCTTTACGATACATACTTACTAAACTGCATGTATGCTACACTATAGCTAAGCTCCAGGCAAAATTAAACATCGGGCAAGCACGACCCGGCGATAAGTAGCCGTCTTTTATCTGCGAGGCGTGGTTCTAGATAATATACAGTTACAAGGAAAAACGTTGCCCCGAAGTAAATGGTTACAAATGAGAAAGTGTTACATGAGAAAATGAGACACGCGAGCGAAAGGCTTGCGTAGGAAAAACAGACGAGAATGCAATAAGCGAGAGAAAGAGCTACAGCAGAGAAATAGCCACTTCACAAGATACGAAAAGAGGAAAAAGAAAAGAAAAATGATAGAATGAGAATACGAGGAGGTGAGACCGTGAGAAAGAGATAAATAGAGAGGTGTCGTGGGATAGCGAGATAGAGAAAAAGAAAGGTGGGGTGAGGGAGATGGAGATGAACAGTGTGCGTGTGCGCATGTGTGTCATTGAGAGGTAGAGAGAGAAAGAAAAGAAAGTTAAATAAAGTAAACAATTGGTATGCACGTTGGGTCAGGGGGCAATTGCTACAGAGAAGACGTTTCACATAAGAGAAATGGAAAGAGCTGCTGAAACAGAAGGAGTGATGCAGGTAAAAGAATTATATTTTAGAATGATTCGAACATTGTCTATTTGAATCACTAGTAAGTACTCGAGCGAAGCGTTTTCTTTCATGCGTTGCGCACTTTTTATGCGTTTCTCGCGAACATAATTTCTACTAAAATTGTGTAGAAATGATTCCAACCATATAGTAATAGCACATCGGATCGGATAAGAGTGTAATGTTATGCTAAACCATGTCATACTGTAGCTGGTCAGGACCAAATTAGAATGAAGTCAGATGGGAAAATCCCCGATAAATATTACTTACGCCATTTCTTTTGCGTTTCCGAGAGAAGTTTATAGTACTATTATTTTACAATTATTTATTTATAGTTTACAATATTATGCAGGTCGCATGCTGAGAGTGCAGACGTGTCAATTAAGCTGAGTTTGAGTCCGCGGGTTTGAGCTGCTACTAAGGGTGGCTGCATAATTATGTGTATTTGTCGACATCGCATGCATATATAGAGTACCAAAATCTTTAGATTATTCTTATTTGCAAGGATTACGGTAGACACAATTTTGCACTACATGCTAAATGCAAATCCAGGCAGTTTTGTATGAGGTATACGGTGTTGAAATGATAAATGTGCCACTATTGGTAAACTCGTGTCTTATTCTTATGTGTGTGTGTGGGTGGTGTGTGTGTGTGTGTGTGTGTGTGTGTGTGTGTGTGTGTGTGTGTGTGTGTGTGTGTGAGAGAGAGAGAGAGAG